CTCATCCTTGCAGATATTTTTTCCAGTCCTATCTAGAATTTCTTCCAGTGACTGCCACTCACTTCTAGCGCATTACTTTACGTAACAGATGTGTCCACTGATTGTTGCAGGTAACTTTATTAACACGCTTGCGTAGAACTGGGAACGTGAGGGGCGCAACTTGCTCACCTGATAAACATAAGAAGGGTTACTATGGTAACGATGCCCCGCGTAATGAGTTGTTTGCAACAAGTGAAAAAAGAGCGCCTCTCTTCAAAACAAAGTCCTGTAAAACTCATTTGGGAGCATTATTCAAGTGAAATATGTATTGTGAAATCGAGGTAGAACAGGTACATAGGTCTAAAGGTTCTACGTGGAAAAAATGTATTTAACGACTGACACTTACTTTAATATTACAGCTTTAGAAAAAAGTGGAACAATGAAGTGTTAATCAGAGGCAAGCGGGTTTACAAACTAGTTTTTTTTTATGGAAGACAATCCACAAAGTAAAAACTGGCCTTACTATTCTTTTACATAAGTTTAAAATGCTGAATGAATGAAATAATAGGAAAGTAGCAAACCCCGTTCACACATCCTGTTTCTCTCTGCGTATGAAAACGGTCATTACGGCGTGCATAGAAAAAGTCTGGTTAAAAAAAAGGGACAAAAGTACGATTAAATTCTTCATCATAAATTTACAACAAAAAAAAATGCGCTAAAATGACAAAAGTCAAACACATGAGAGCCGGTTGAAGCGAGGAGCAGTTCTGCAAGCCAGCGGCCAGCAGAGCACACGGTAAACAAAGGCCTGTTTCTGAGTGCAAGCTCCATTTTGAACAATGCGGCTTGGTTTCTGTACTAAGCTAAACATAAAGTGCACACTTTGAGTAATGCAAACATGCTCTGCTAAAGTGCGTGCACTCGCAAACGAACGTACCTGGGGTGCTACCGAGCGTGCTGTGGCTCCTAGAACTACTCTCGGTACAGTAGCTGGCATCATCATCCTCTGGTAGTGCCTCCAGATAGTCAGAGTCGTTTCCCAAGGCCTCCTCTTCTTCAAGATCCGACGAAGGGTTATCATTCAGGAGTTCATCTTCGTCTGACCTGTAGCTTAAATTATCATCTTCCTCGTCGCTGTTGTCGTCGTAGACCACCTTGGTTTGAGGCCGTCTCACTCCGCCTCTGCCGCCGCGGCCGCCTCTCGAGCCCCTGCCTCTCCCCCTACCTCCTCTGCCCCGCGATGCCGCGGCCGCCCCTGTGGTTGAGGCTCCAACTTTCCTGCGGCCCCGGGACGAATGAAAGTTCTCTCGGCCGGAGATTTCTGTATCCACCTCTGCAGAGCCAGTGCCGCAAACACCTCCACTTCCTCCGCGTCCCCTACCCCGTCCTCTGCCTCTTCCCCGTCCACGCAGCCCTCTACTCCTGCCGCCCCGAGAGCCGCGGACTGGCCCGGGTGAACCTTCCCGCATCACGGCTGCTTGTTTGGGCGGCCTTCCTCTTCTCCCCCTCATTGTAGGAGAGAGTCTCTTCTGTTCAGCTTCAATCTCGGTGTTCGAATAAGCCGCGCACGCCGGAGAAAAAAAAAACAACAGATCAGGCAATGGTTCCCGATGAGTCCCCCACCAAGCCCCGGTCTCAATTCAGATCGGAAAGCTCAAACTGAATGGCCGGTATCCCGCTCCGAGTCGTCTACAGACGCCATTTTTCTTCTCGGCTCTCCCTCCGTTGAAAACACAGCAGGCCCCACAGCTCCGTCAAGCTAAACGCAGATAGTGATTGTACCGGAAGCACAGCGCTACCCCCTTCAAAGCAAAATCACATTTATAATTACAAAAACGAAGAATAAATAAATATCCTAATGTACAAGACATGCATGAATACAGATTCGGTTATGTCCATCATTTATGTCTACTGCGGCAGTTTGTTTTAAACGACTGGACTGTGTCACATTCGGAAGTGTTGTTTTTATTTCTAACTTGACACTAGCAGGCGTGAGTGGATGCGAGGTCACGTGACTCGCTATTCCACAATAGACGCAATTGCCGTGCTAGTTCATAAAATGTGTTATCCATCCAAATGCTATCCACCTATAGTACCTTATTAGCGTTTGTTGGTCCTGCAGTGTAGTTAAAATCAAAGGTTAGTGGAGTGTATTCAGTTAAATACCTTTGTTCATTTCGGCCCTGTCGCCACCATCGTCACAGCATAGCGAGGCGAGAAGATAAGCATACGTACATGTAGCACTATAACATGAATCTAAATAACTCGTCGTAAAAGTTAACAACACGTTTTTGCGATTAAAATGTCGTAATTTTAACGAATAGTGTAATTTATGTCTTAACCAAAATGCAATTTTATACAACTTTGATTTCACTTTTTGAGTATTAACAAGGAAACTGGCTCCATTTTAGACGTGCAGTGAACTGAAGTACAGCTGGAGCAATGCAGAACTCCCGCCGAACAAAAATATTCTAACAATGTAGCCCACAACCAGAGTAGAAGTGGAGTCGTGACCTAGTGGGTTTTCCGCGACACCCTCCACTTTTGCGTTTATGATGGGTTTAAATTGAGAACTTAAATAACGGTACGTTCTTTTAAGTTTGCTTTTCTTTTCTTCTTAATTGGGCCAGCTACTTAAGCAGCAGACAAAGACATAACAAGTAGCTAATTAGCCGGTAAAGTTGAAAGAATCTCTTTCCTTTCGATAGAAAAAACATACAACCTGAAAAGATGTAGCTATGTATAAAATTTTATGTGGCCATTACAGCAATATTAAAGTGTCTGTTGTCGTGGCCGAGTGGTTAAGGCGATGGACTAGAAATCCATTGGGGTCTCCCCGCGCAGGTTCGAATCCTGCCGACAACGTTTTTGGTCTTGACAACATAGTAAAAAATATCATGGACGTGGTCCAAGCCATTCAGTTTTGTTGTTGTATAGGACTCGGCTAAATTTTGCTAGTTGGTTAGGTACCTAATTATAAAAGCGACCCAGTAGTTGAGGGACATAGTCAAAATGGTGGTAGAACTGCAATAATATTTTGACACATCACTAACTTAAAATATAATTGCTACAGATTTTAACTTCTTACTTTAAAAGATTTCAGCCAAGTCCATGAAACTCTATGGTACTGCTTCAAATGTTCGCATCTATTAATGCATAATAATGTGTTCTTCGTTAATGTAAGAACTTGCTAAATATCCCAGAATTGTAGGTTCAACTCTGTGATTACACTATTGCTGCAGCCCCTCTTGTACATTTACTTCATACCACTGTCCATATAACCCTTGCAAGAAACGGGCGTCAGAATATTTACTGTAGGTCTTGTGTCATAGATCTTGTTTTCGAGTACCGAATTAGCACAGGTTGTTCTTGTTCAGCAACCACTTGCTCTAAAATGAACTGGCTCAGTCACATTTTGTAATATAACCTAATGATAATAAAGGAATAAAAAAATCTATGCAAATTGTTGACCTGTAGTTGTTACCACAAACTACTGTAGGCTACACACATCACAATCCAAGAACTTCAAGGCATCCAGTACTATCTGCGTTTGTTAACACCTTTTAATAAAAAAAAAAAAAAAAAAACATTTACAAAGTCACACATGGATTAACAATTTTCTCACTGTAGAATTGTTTTACACATAAACGGAAAACCAGAAAAACAAAGGGGAAAAGAAGCATATACAAAGTCAGGGCTCAGAGATTTATTAATACTCTGTTGTGTAAGGATGTATCCAAAAACAGCCATTCATTGTCACAGGCAAATATTCATTATGGATTATGGATGCTTTTCCATGTAGCTGACAAAACCAGTATTAAGGAGCTGGACATATGCACAGAGCATAATCAGAGTGCAAAACTTTAAACTGTAAGGTCCAATTTTCATTGTTTTACACAATTTTAAAACACCATTCAAACTCGTCCGCAGGTTAATTGAACATCAAACTGTAAAATTCATGCAACTTGAGTTGATGGCTAGTAGCATCAGTGCAGGTAAAAAGTTAAAGGAGACATTATGCTCAATGATTTAATAAACGTATTCTGTACACATTCTATAACAGCTCAATGACTTCAATGGAGTACTGTCCGACATCCTTCTTCACTTTCATCTTATTTAGCTCTTTGAGGCTGCCTTCGATCTTTCCAAGCTCCGAAACCAGTCTCACCTGAGGGCACGAGAAGGGATCTTGGTCTTAATTCTTTTATTTTTTAGTTCTTTTTCAGGTTAATTTTAATAAATATTTTACTTATACAACTGCAGTAATATGTAGGCCATAATAAACAGTTTCTACACAATCACTGTATCAAAGACACAATTAGAGAGTGGATGAAGGGGAAGACGTGTTACCTGAGACTTAACAAAAAAAAGTTCAGCAGTAAGCCTTTGACCTCTGGAGTCATCACTAGTATTGTGAAATGTGCATCCAACACCAAGCACATCCAATCCATGATCTATAATCAAATGCAAAGTGTTACAAATGTAAAACAGAGTAACAAATGTAATTTTTTTTCCAAACCTAAATGTTGCATTCCACCATTTGTGGTGAACAATTAATTGACAAAGCATTTTAATTATTGCTGGGAGATTTCTGTATATCACATTGACAGTGCTTTTACAAGTTTGTTACAAGTTTATACAGGGTATATGCAGGAACCATGAAGTTAGATTCAATACCTTTAACGGGTATTTAAAAACCTCAAAGCCACTTCAAATTATAATTAGTTACATCAGCAGCGCTAACATATATTTACTATTCACTGACTGAAATTCCTTTTTTTGGAATTGAGAAAGTGGAATTTCACCACCACAGAACCTCTGTGTGCAGCACTGATGTGGCATCATGACCTTGAGGTCAGCAGAAGAAGCGACAGCCGTTGTAGTAGCTTCAGTGGTGGTACAGAGTAGCGATGTAGCCGGTTTAGCACAGAAATTCTTGATACATAGCTGCTGTCTGCATCACATGGCAGATTTGTGACTAGCATTGTGCATATGGGTCTGGACAGCGTTGATCCTTAAGTAAATATACAGTGTGTGCAGTGAAGCTGCCAATCCTGGCCGTGTGGCCGATTTAAATGTATAGTGCGAGTTAATACATCGATTACGATTAATAAAAATCATACATGGTTTGCACGGGGATACAGTTACTGCTTTCTTCCACACTGAATAATATGGCTGCCGGTTGTTCCCAGTGATTGGCCTCAGCCATGGTTCAAATTCAGCATCACCAACCACCTGCTCATGAACTTGGATTTTCCCATTACATTTGTTAGTTTGTGTAAAGTCAGTCAAAGTGTAGAGTTGTTAAACAATAATCAATAGGTCTGTGAGCATGCAAATGTTTGAACTTCTCAGAGGAGGCCACATTTAGCCTGGATTCCACCTGGGGCGGGTCAGTGATATTGCGTCTGTGAAGAAGAAATCCACAAGATACATGGCTCCACATTATAAATAAATTCATACAAACTCTAAGATCCTGCGGTCACTTTATTATATACTTTTTTTTTTTTTTAAGTTGGGGAAACAAAACAAAAAAAAATTAGAAATCAGACAACATTGATGAGATTTTGGCAAAGACAATCACAACTGGCACAACAATGCTTCAACTCTCTAGCAGCTGTATTTTCTATGTTTTACCGTCCATCTCTTTCTGTTGAATACATATTGTGGCTGAACTGAATCCAGACCACATGCAGTTCAGGTTCAACCACCGCTGAATCTCAATTTGACAAGACTGTCTGCAAAATGCTTTCTTCTGCCTCCGGACTTGCCACTTAATGCATCTTGCAGTGACAGACACTGCCTGCACCCCAATTATCTAGTTAGACACTGGTACATACCTGAGTCAGACTTGGTGATCTCAGTCCATGCACCTGTGGGAAAACATCCTGGGAATATTTTAGGTAGAGGAACTGGAGGTACTGGAGGAAAAGCTGATTGTAGGAGAAAGAAAATTAACACTGTAAGCATAGTTTTTATGCCTCTATATTTGGTTCAACTAAGCTTGTTACATAACCAGACCATCACATGTGCAACATGAAATTAACTATACAGTATGTACTACTGTTTTTAATGTGGACTTTTATATGTAGTAAAACAGATCACACTCAGACACTGTGGATAAAAAAAACAAACTGGAAACTAGGGAGCTGTAAACTGTACCTTGAGTTTACACACAATGAACTAGAGATGAAAATAAAACAACCACTTACAACAACATGATGAGAGGAGAGATCTTTTAGATGTGGGAGGAGGAACATGTCACTGTAAGCTGTCTGCAGGACCTCATTCCTTTGTGGCTCGAGTTAAGATCTCATACATTAACATTTCTCAGGCTTTTTAAACTATGGTTTCATATCCTACTGCTGCATCTTTATGTATCCAATGGTTCATATTAATGCTGTTTAACTACAACATTTTAAAAATATCTAACAGTGGCAAACGCCCTCACAGAATGGCAAAAATGTGTGTGAGCAATCGTGCAGTGGGAGGATACAGCAGAACAGCCTTGTGTAATCCCACTGGACACGTCTGTTCTGGTGCAGTTGAGGTCTTCTCTTTGTCTTCTGCTCCGCTCTTTAGGACGGTGCCACCTCCACTGAGGGCATCTGAGCAGTCCTCCTCGAAGGAGGTGGGGCTGAAACCATTCTGCAAGCCTGTCTGTCCACGCTCCTTTGAGATGAGTGTTTTCATGAAGCAGACACTGTCAGGCTCCAGGCTCGCTTTCTCTGCATCCATGTCTGACATACTGCGAGACAAAGGCAGAACAGCATATAGTGAAACCTTGGATTGTGAGTATAATTCGTTCCGGCAATGTGCTCGTAATCCAAAGCACTCGTATATCAAAGTGAATTTCCCCATAAGAAATAATGGAAACTCAGATGAGTCGTTCCACAACCATATATTAATAAAAATGATTACAGTAATACAAAATACAGTATAAAGTACAATTAAAACAAATTAACCTGCACTTTACCTTTGAAAAGAATCGTGGCTGGCGTGAGGGGCCATTGCTGACTATACGAGTGAGGCGCGGGAACCATCGGCTCAGTTATGACGTGACGCTCGGCAGACAAAGCGTATGTACTACTCGTATTCGTTTATCGAATCAAAATTTTTGCTTGTCTTGCAAAACACTCGCAATCCATAGTTCCACTGTACTGGTATTTATTCATTTGACCTTTCACAGAGTGAGGCTAATAATCAGATGATTAAACTGGTAAAGCAAGTCTGTTATACTGTATCAGATCCAGCCCATGCATAAGTGAACTAAGCGTCTGCTTAGGGCCCCCATGAGCACTTAAAATGTCCCACAAGAGAGCTTGTTTATGCACATGTGCACTGTAATGGCTGTTAATTGCATTGTGATGCAATCACAGTCAGTCAGACCCGAATTTTGAGTTACATGGAAAAAGCAGCAAAAAAGTTGTTGCAAAAAAGAAAATATGACTCTTAAGCAGAGAAAAGAACAAAGAAGAAAGCAAAGGATGAAAAAAACATCAAGATAAAGGTATGTTTGTGTGACTAGTTACTAATTGTCTGCTGGTTTATTTGATTAGTTTTCAATACACCACTTTCAGTATGCCACTAAGTATTTAGCACTTAGTATCACTTTGGTGAGTTTGCTACATTTTAAGATTAAAACCCATATGGGTAAAAACATGCTGGGCTGACAATGATATGATGTAAGCAAACAGCTACAGTTTATAAAATTGATAATTGGGTGTGTTAGATTTACAGCACGTGTGCGAATGATCAAGCAGTGACAACACACAGAGGTGGTGGAGGGCTCCCACATCAAATTGCATCATATAAACTTGGGACGGCCTTGTACCGTATGCAGGATATTTGATGCAATTAGTGCCACCAAACTAAAAAATGTAAATCAATTGTTAAAAGCCCCTGTAAAATTTTAAAATGTATTACTTTGGAGACATCAATTCTTGCTGTATCACAATGTCCATCACAGGGTTTACTCTATTTTTAGGTTTTGATTTTACCTGATAAAGGTCTTGAGACAGGCACAGGTGACAGCTTCAGGGATGTCAGGGAAGAAGTGCAAGCAGAGCTGACATAGAAAGTAATCCTTCCTCTCCAGGGCCAGGAGCACAAGGTCAGGACACACACTGTAGATGGTCATAAAGGTAAATGGTCACATTCAACAGTGGATCATTTACTCTATTAGTCTGTGTGATTTGGGCAATTTGGTTTATGTTTTCTGTAAAATTATGCAAATAATAATAATAATAATTTATTTGTTTATATAGTGCTTTACAACACCCAAGGGTACTCAAAGTGCTTCACAACAAAACATATAAAAACAGAAGCAGAACATGTTAAGACACATAAACTAACAAAAAGGAAAAGTTAAAATTACACAAAGTTAAAACCACAGTCTGTAAGTAACTATAAAATCAAATCAATACAAAATCAAACCAATTATGACCTTTGAGTTCAAATGCAGGCATAGAAACACATTCTGCATACTAAGCCCAATTAGACAACTTTGAGAGTCAATACTTTTATGTCATCATGCTCCCGCTGCCATGCCTTACTAACCTGTGGCAGAGGCATTGTGTGTGCACCAGCTGTGCCAGGGTGGCAGGAGTGTAGAAGGCTGGATCAGCCAGGCTTCTGGACACAAGCGCTGATGCTAACTGCCCCACTGATGGCTGCAGGTCTTGAGTGTCTGCCCTGGAGACCAGCCCCTCCACCTCTTTCTGGACCTCTTCTATTGGTGCCGTCTGTATGAGAAAAAGAAACTACATTATCATCTCAGAATTGGTTGGTATACATTTTTTGTTAACCCTGCTAAATTACGTGTTTTACTAGAGATTCATTACAGAACAAATATTTACCTTGATGAGCTCCAGAACTTGATCAGTTGTTAAACTAGGTGTTGACTGGGTCCTCCGGGTTGTTCTCTATATGGAAGGAGAAATGAATCTAATTAAGGATCTAGCACAGACAACAGGACATATAAATTAACACTGACAGGAACAGCACTGAACCATTACTCTTCAAACACTATGCAGATGCAGTGTACAACTGATTTGTAAAAGTTGTGTTACATTGCAACAGCAATTGGTGCCATTATGATTCTAATGTGTGTGCAAGTTTATTCATTATTTCAATGGCAAGGCTAAATTGTTTTTTGAGACCGACTTGTTTACTACACAGTATGCCATTAAACATAGAAGTACAAATAAAGAAATAGACTCTCTGTTATACAATAAAGTATAACAGAGCAGGAGCAGAAGAATTCTCCCCTTGCAAATGTACAGTCAGGTCCATAAATATTGCGACATCGACACAATTCTAACATTTTTGGCTCTATACACCACCACAATGGATTTGAAATGAAACGAACAAGATGTGCTTTAACTGCAGACTGTCAGCTTTAATTTGAGGGTATTTACATCCAAATCAGGTGAACGGTGTAGGAATTACAACAGTTTGCATATGTGCCTCCCACTTGTTAAGGGACCAAAAGTAATGGGACA